CACTCACCGCTGCGGTGAGTGTCAGATATCTGTGTATAAACGCAACACACCCTGAAACGCTACACACAGCCCTATATTTTAATAACAATCAGTGGTTTTTGTATTAGTGCTTATTTGTTAAAGGTGTACCCATCGGTGGGAGTTAACGCAGCCCAGCAAAATGTGATTGTAGTGCAGATGCGTTAACGTGACGTGTGTTTTTGCCAATATCAAAATACTTCCTTCCACACTGTGTAGAGACAAATGTAAATAAGCTTTCAAAACATTGCTCTGTTTGTTTGAGTGCTCTAACATGTCTACGAAAGCAATAAGCCCCAAGAAGCCGTGGTTTACAGTGAATTTATAACAGCTAAGGGGGTTTTAGGCACTCCGCGCCCCTTAGCTGTTATAAATTCACTGTAAACCACGGCTTCTTGGGGCTTATTGCTTTCGTAGACATGTTAGAGCACTCAAACAAACAGAGCAATGTTTTGAAAGCTTATTTACATTTGTCTCTACACAGTGTGGAAGGAAGTATTTTGATATTGGCAAAAACACACGTCACGTTAACGCATCTGCACTACAATCACATTTTGCTGGGCTGCGTTAACTCCCACCGATGGGTACACCTTTAACAAATAAGCACTAATACAAAAACCACTGATTGTTATTCAAATGGAGGATGTGTGTAGTGTTTCAGGGTGTGTTGTGTTTATGCACAGATATTTGACACTCACCACAGCGGTCTCTAATGACCAGTCCATGGCCCTCCTTCAGGTTTATAGTGAGCAGATACGTTCTCTGAGCTTCCCTCTGATGCTCATTCACTCCAGCTGATTCGGTCTTCATGTCCAGAATCTGATTTAAAAAATAAAAAATAAAATAAATGAGAGAGCCATACCACAAGCTTTTACATGGGTCATTTGGACACTATATCTGGGTAGTTGATGTGACATGTCGAGCACTGACAACAGTGTGACATGCTATAATTAAAACTATTTTAAGCAACAGTTTTTGTCATTCTGTTTTGTCATTTGTGAACTCATAAAAACCTAAAAGTAGGGAAAAAACCTAGAAGTGGTGACCAGTTACATCATATAAATGCACCAAATATACACCATATATAAATGCGTCATTCATTCATTCCAAACACGCTCTCTTTTTATAGTGCTCGCAAGTGGCCTTACCCCCCTTACTTCTTTTTTTTACTACTTTATACTTATTTTTAGAATGTTCTCCCATTGACTAACAGTAATAGGATTATTATGCAGTTTGGAGCCTGTAAGATTTTTTTAGGTTTTTGAAAGTCTCATATGCTCACCAAGGCTGCATTAATTTGACCAAAAACACAATAAAAACAGTACTATTGTGAAATATTATTACAATTTAAAATAACTGTTTTCTATGTCAGTATATTTTAAAATGTAATTTATTCCTGTGATGGCAAAACTGAATTTTCAGATGATTTTCACATGATCCTTCAGAAATCATTCACAGCGCTCATTTCTTATTATCATCAATGTTGAAAAGAATTAATATTAGTGGCGCTTAATATTAGTGAAAACGCAGATTTTTTCAGCATTCTTTGATAACAACAGCATTTATTTGAATTAGAAATCTTTTGTAACATTATAAATGTCTCTGCCACTTTTGATCAATTTACTTTATCCTTGTTGAAGTATCCCTTTCTTTAAAAAAAAAAAAACGTTTGAAAAGTAGCGTACATTGATTTGCATACCAAACTGCATTATTAGTTTCATATTAAATTCTGATGCATGCTGACAGCATGGCTATCATAAAACAGTACAGCAGCATTTCATTTACACAGAACAACAACATGCAACTATTAATTCGCAACCTTAAAAGCACTGCTATTTCCTTTAGGAATTACAAGTTTTGTGCTGAATTAAAAAAAATTTAAAAAAGTATTTGTTAACTTGCCAAATAAACAGTACTAGTACTAGGGAGCACCATCAACTACCATGGTAAAATGGTGTTTTATTTAACTTTCACATGGTCAGGAAGCAAACCTTGAGCTTTCAATGTCAGAACACGATTACGCACGGTATGGTCCATTTCAGTGGGTTTAAAGTACAATGTCAGCTGCATGCACCCTACTAAGTGTCTTCTGATATCATGTAATAGTAGACTTAAACACAACAAAATAATACACACTTGCACAATCCAAACATGTTAATACTTACATTATTGTGCTCGTTGTCATGTATGGAGAACGTATCTGAACCATTTCTGTTGAAATGCGGCTTCTGTTTCCCAAACAGAGTCAAAAACTGTACTAGATATGATCAAAAAAGCTACCAATTCACGAATCAATGGTGTAAAGAGATTTCCTCATTCATCCAAAGTCAGTCTCTAGTAGTTAAAAAGAGTTTTGTTTTATCTTGGCGACTCCTGATTTCATGGCACATATTTCTAGAATAACACTGAAGGTCATCTTTCTTAATACCTTTATTAAAAATTCCTTAACCCCAGGGAGAGCGAATGCTAAGCCACATAAACAAAGAACTTGTGGAATTAAAGTTTCCACTGCTAGGAAACCTCAAAAACGCATACATTACTTGGGTATAATACACTTGTAAATTAGCTTACTCTAAAAGCTTTTAAAGATCAAGTTCTTTTAAAAACAAAGCGAAGTGTAGGGTTTTCCTTCCTTACTGAAAAATCTTTCAACATCAGGTGATTCAGTGTTTAAGATATTACAAACCGAATCACCTTGAAAAATGAGTAGCTGACTCACCTGTAAAAGCAAATATTCTCGCATGCTATCCAGCATCACAAAATATGATACCTCTACTAAAATAAATGTGAAAGATCACCAATGCAACAGCGTTACATAGCTAACAAAGCATCTACCTCCACCTGACCATGAAAGATCTCCATTTGTGTGTTATTTTTGGTGCCGTACAGTACCGTATAGGTAGCATGACACTTCCCGGCTGGTCATTTGCATTTTAAACAAATGGAGAAGCATCCGTCTGCTGTAAATGTGTGTTACCACATTCTTGGGCTTTGAAATGTTATGGCAAGTTCCTGCAGTGATGACCTGCTCATGTTCAGAGGAACTGCATTTCACAATAGTGTGATGCTTCGCACTGTTCTCCGGAGGTGAGAAGGCAAAACAGAAGATGGTGAAAAACTTTGCGTTGTCTAACTTGAATTATTTTTCATTTAAGTTAAAATGCTAACAGCATGCCAATGCAGTGAATTCTACCAGAAAAGCACGCAACTGCAATCCATTCCAAAAAAAAAACTTACGTTTTCTGTGTGACCTTTATGAAATATGCAGTTGATAAAAATGAAAAGAACATAAGGAAGTACTAAGTTCACCAAAAGCATCAAATGCAAACAGGTTTGTGTAACAATCTCAGAGTTGCAGAAAACTTCCTCCCTCCCTTGATGATTAACCCAACCGATAGATCAAGATCACTGGCATGTTTTACCTCAGCCAAGCTCTCTGATGAAGGAAGCTGCGTGTCCCTCAAACGCAGCACCTGATCCATCTCATCTGTGGACTTGGAGATGTTGTGTTCACATGGGGCATCCGTGACTGGCTCCTGTGACAGCCAGCCGGTCGAGTCTAGAGAATCAGAGAGGCCGGTGCCGCCCCCTCTCTTTCGCAGAGTCACGCTGAGGGGGGAGTCTGGGCTACTGTTGCAGGCAGAGGATGTCCGGAGGTCAGCTGGCTGCTGGTGGGTGGGGCTTTTTAGGGAGGACATCCGACTCCTCTGCAGGACGTCCATGACAGATGTGCTCATCCGCTGGTCCAACAAACGCTCTTCCCTCACCTCCGGCTTGTTGGGGTTTTTGTCGTTGCCAACCCGCGAGTATCGAAAGAGTTTGGCTTTTTGGCGCAAACTGCCAATCATAGACTTTTTGTCCTCCATGAGAAGGGTGTTGGAGTGTGTGAATTTCGCAAGTTGGTCGTAAAGGCCTCTCTCTCACACACTAGAGCTGGCTTGTGATCAAGACCTGCAAGGACAATACGAGAAAGTACATAAACACAAAATTGTTGCAATGGCATGATTAAATTTGGCATCCACATTTGCAAATCCAACTTAAAAGTCAACATGAAATCAAAACTGACCCTATTTACTTTCATAGCACATGCTCCAAGTCTTACAATGAGAGTAAAAGTGGAGGAGATTGACCAATCACAGAGAAATGAACAGGAGAACTGGTATTTGTGGGAGTAGGAATGAAAGTCTACTGATTTGAGCTGAAGAAGCTACACCTGTTAGTGTTAGAGTAGAGTTACCTGTTAAGAGTTTATTGATGATTTGAAATATGTTACTGAAACATAATCTCGCCAAGTAGTTTTTGAGATAAACTAACCTGCCTTAAAAGGACTTTGGAATTATTAATCAGTGCACATAATTACAATTACAAAAAACAAAAACAAAGTACAATTTAATCACTTTCCTTTTTCATGTGATGTCACAGAGTCATCTAGCCACCCCTGCGTAAGTGTTTTGCTTAGTTTCTGTCGTTTAGAATACATATCTGCTAGTAGGGAGGATTCATTCATTTACTGCTTTTTTATTATTTTTTACATTTTGCTGATTGTGCATGTTGTTTGCTGTTAGCTGTAATTAGAATCTACAAAAAGACTTTTTGCTACCTGTTAATTTGCACTTTAGTGGCAAACTGTACCACAGTAGTTTTGATTTCAAGCCATTTGCGTGCTATAGGCTTTGCTGTGCTAATTAGAGGCGTGGAAAGCTGTATTCATTCAAGTGGGTTAAGCTGTGTATTCAAGTGGAGTCGGTTTGCTGGCATGGAAGCGTCAGCCCTCCTCATGTGAAGACCGATGAGGTAAAGACCTGCGACTCTACCTGTGCGACGACACCGGCAATGCACAGTAGTATCTTTCCTTTATTCTACTTACTTTCCTTTCCTATCTCCACCACTTTCAGCAAGTGCTTCCATTATATTCCTGTTGTCTCTCAAGAGAAACACTCTTACACAACACGCAGTACACGGCGCAATCATGCTAACCTGTGTCCTATCCACACTTCTTCTATTGCACCCTTTTCTATGGGCCTCTGGAATTGTCAGTCAGCTGTCAAACAAAGCTGACTTTATCTTAGCCTCTTAGGCTTGACTGAGACGTGGATTAAACCTGAAGACACAGCAACCCCTGCTGCTCTTTCCAACAGCTTCTCTTTCACCGACGCCCCTGTCAGGTTGGGAGAGGTGGGGATACTGGTCTCCTCATTTCCAAAATCTAGAAATACCTCATATGCTCTTATACCTTGAACAAAACCTCCTTTGAATTTCATGCCGTTACAGTCACACCCCCTGTAAAAATCCACATTGTGGTAATTTATCGCCCACCAGATCAGCTGGGCAACTTTCTAGAAGAACTGGATATGCTGCTGTCCCCACTCCATGAGGATGACAGCCCTCTAGTACTTTTTGGTGACATCTACCTTGAGAAGCCACTTGCAGCTAACTTCCACTCTCTCCTATAGCCTCTTTCGACCTTCGGCGCTCAACAGCCCAGGCACCCATAAATCAGGTAACCAACTCGATCTTTCTTTACATGCAATTGTATCACAGACAACATCTTGGTCAAACTCTTGCATGTCTCGGATCATTTCCTTCTTCCGCACCACCAACCCCTCTGCCAGTTTCGTTTAGACGAAACCTAAGGTTTCTATCTCCTTCTTGACTTTCCTCAGTGGTATCATCCTCTCTTCCCACCCCCAATTTGCATCATTAGATGTGAATTGACACAAGGAAACTCTCCAAAACATTCAATACTTTCCTTTGTCCCCCACCTCCCACCATCTCTTTAACAGCTGACGATTTTGCTAATTACTTCACAAACAAAACCACACCCATCAGCAGTCAGTTCTCAGCTCCACTCACCCAGGAACTCACATCAAACACTCACACAGCTGACCATCTTCTCTCCTCTTAGAGAAGATGAAGTCTCTCAACCTATTCTCTCCAGCCAACCTACCACCTGTCCTCTAGACCCAATCCCCTACAAGCTATTTCCCCTGCACTTCTGCCTTCACTCACACACATCATCAACACATCTCTTCTAACAGGCATTTTTCCCCACTGCATTCAAGCAGGCTCGGGTAACCCCACTGCTTAAAAAACCTACACTAGACACCTCACTTGTTGACAGCTACAGACCCGTGTCTCTCCTCCCTTTCATAACAAAGTCACTTGAATGCAACCAAGTTTTCAACGAAGTGCCTTCTTTCCTCTCACAAAAAAAAAAAAAAAAAAACAGCTGGACAATAACCAATCTGGATTTAAAAGTGGCCATTCAACTGAAACCGCCTTGCTGTCAGTCACTGAAGCGCTACGAAATGCAGAGCTGAGTCCAGATCTTCAGTTCTCATTCTCCTAGATCTATCTACTGCATTCAACACTGTTAATCATCAAATCCTTCTGTCCACCCTCTCATCGCTGGGCATCACCGGAACTGCACTCCACTGGTTTGAGTCTTACCTCACAGTTTGGTCCTTCAGGGTGTCTTGAGGACCTGAATCACATCAACTGGTCACTGGGGTTCCTCAGGGATCAGCACGTCTTGTTTTCAAGGAGCCCATGTCACACCACTTCTCATCTCTCTGAACTGGCTTCCAGTTGTGGCTCGCATCAAGTTCTAGTCATTGGTGCTTGCCTACAGAACAGCCACGGACTCCGCACACTCCTACCTCCGCTCTGTCCTATGCGTCTACATCCCCTCCAGAAGCCTGCGGTCGGTAACCGAGCAGCGGCTCATGTCCCATCGCAGAGAGGCACAGAATCACTCTCAAGGACGTTTTCTTTCACCGTTCCCTGTTGGTGGACTGACCTAACTCCATCCAGTCAGCCGAATCCCTCACAATCTTCAAGAAACAACTGAAAATACATCTCTTCCTTGAGCATCTAACTACCTCCAATAATAATAATAATAACAACAACAAAATTATATGCCTTCATTTTTTCTGTTCACTTATTATCCACCTGTCCTAGCTTTTTACCATTTTGAACGATGACTGAAACCTTGTATAACAGGCACTTCTCGTGTTTATTGCCATCTTATGGTAAATCGCTTGTTGTATTCCTTAACTGTAAGTCGCTTTGGATAAAAGCGTCTGCCAAATGAATAAATGTAATGAAAATAATTTCAGGCGAAACTAACAGGCTTATTATGCACTGGCTTGCTAGTATTAGCAGGTTAAGTCAACTGAATATGAAAAATATCATGCTTACTTTCACCTGTGGAAAAATTGTGTCAGATGACCTTAAACACTGTTAATATCAGCAGACTGTAATGTCAATAAACCTTGTTTAAACTGTGTTCAATGTGCATGTTTATTTATGTAACTTGATCTACCATTAAACCAAACATTTTCATACAAATGTATTTTAAATTAGCTTCAATTGTGTTCGTCTTAGATCCTATAACTCTTTATCACTGCTTATGAGTTTTAATCCCCATTTTAACAACTTTTCTTTTACTAGTTCCTTTTAAATGCTCCTGTGGTTGACAAATTAATTTTTTTAAAGTACAAACATTTCACGTAGTCTCTCAATTCATACAAACATACAGGATTTCATTAAGGCTGCATGCAAAATAAATGTACAGTAATTTAAAATATTTTTAGATATTATGTTATTATATATTATTTATATATTATATAACTTTCCAAAAGTATTTTATCTACCCAAATTTAAAATAAATAACAAAAAACAAAGAATTTCAGAATTTGTGTGTTGCTGACAGAAAATCCCACCTTGCATAAACAGATGCTATGCTGTAAATGACATCTGCGTTATAGAGCATTACCATTTCACTAAACCCAATAAAGAAATATTTGTATTTATAAATTGTACATTGTGTTAGTGTTTGGTGATTTGTACTTTTTTCTAAAATGCAGTACATTATATTACACAAAAGAATTTCAGAATTTTTTTGTGTTGATGACAGAAAATCCCACCTTGCATAAACAGATGCTATGCTGTAAATGACATCTGCGTTATAGAGCATTACCATTTCACTAAACCCAATAAAGAAATATTTGTATTTATACATTGTACATTGTGTTAGTGTTTGGTGATTTGTACTTTTTTCTAAAATGCAGTACATTATATTACTTAAACACATACACACACACTCACATATATAGAGTAATATGCATAAATATAAATTATGTTTTGTTAGAGGCTCCAGGAAACATATTCTAAAATAATGTGCCAGATATGTTAATCGTCTATAAGGGACCAAACATTTGCCGTGCTTACATATTGATTTTTTCGGTTCCTTTCTCAGTTGAGGAGAGAACAATCAATCAAGAACATACATGTTAGACTTTCGATAAATCTGCACTATGATTCATGGTCCACAGTGTCATCTAAGCCATGATTTCTCCAAAGTCAGTTTTTCATTTGTTTAAAACAGGCCTAACATGTTGTGGCTGTAATTCAAGCCATACGCTCATCCCTCTGTCTTTGTGTGGAAGGATAATTTGACTGTACAGCTATACATCAGGGTTTTTTCACACATCAGTGATAATGGAAAAGAGACACAGGTGATTACTAAGGCAAGCATCACTAATATTATTGCTCATAGGGTTACTCAACAAACCTGACCCAAAGAAGTATTAAACTTCAGAGCGGACATGAATGATGCAAATGATGAGCGACTGAGCTGCTATTATGCTTCAAAGTCATCTGCGTCACAATTGTTGCCTGTCAAATAATGACAAAAAGACTTGGGATGGGCTTTTTTGAGTTGGGTTTGTAAGCGAGCACACAGAACACCCTATAACCACTGACAGTAGCAATGCTTGTGGTCTAAGAAGAGAAAAAAAGAATACCATACCAGAATATTTCAAATGCACAAACACTTGGGAACTAGAGAGTATAACATGTTTTAAAAAATCCTTTAAGCTGCATTTAGCAAAATATGTGTGTTGTGTGAGTCATAAAAAGACAAAAAGCAATATCTAGATTTATGGAGGTGACAAGCTTTGTCAACCAAGTACAGCAATTTCTGGCAATACAGATTTTGTTTATCATTATCGTTTTAATTATTAAGATTATTATTACTATTATTACAGTTTCTACCCCGGAAACCCTGTAAACAAAGCAGCTGCACTACTTTCTGTTTCTGAATCATGTTTAAATGATTTAAATAGCCATTCAGATTTGTGTATTTGCTATGATGTTCATCACAGCACCAAATACTTAAATATTTAGACTTAATAGGCTATTTATTTTCAAACTTTTTTTTACATTTTAATTTGGACTACAACATGCCCTAGATATTGTTTGAAAGTGTTTTGATTCTTTATTGTTCGGTCACAGTTTACATTAGGGCTTCATTAGTTAACATTAGTTAATTCATTAGTTAGCATAAACTGCCAATGAAAAATTCTTTTGAACATTCATTAATCTTAGGTATTCTAATATTTAATAACAGGTTGTTAAAATCGAAAGTTGCAACTGTGTTATTTAATGAGCTAACATGAACTAAGACTTGTATTTTTTAAACAAAGATTAATAACTTCTGTAGCAAATGTAGCTATTGCTCATTGTGAATGTTAATGCATTAACTAAGGTTAACTAATGAGGTCTTATTGTAAAGTGATACCTATTGGTCTATAGTTCTTTTGCACTTTAATCTGTGTAAAACTTTTAACTTAAATTAAATTTTAACTTAAATTAAATTAACTTAAAATTTTCTGTATTGCTTTATTGCATTTAAATGTTCAGTTATTTTTGTTATAAGAAAAAAAAGTTATTAAACCTGTTATACTGTATTATGACAGCACTTTTTTTAAAATTAATATTTAAATGCGCATAACAATCGCATTCGATTAATCGTGCAGCCCTATATCTATCTATCTATCTTTTCCAGAAATGAACACTTTTATTCAGTAAGTATTAGTTAAATTGATCAAAAGTGACAGTAAAGGCAATGGCATCAAAAAAAATCTATTTGAAATAAATGCTTTTCTAATGTTTTTTTTATTCATCAAAGAATACTGAAAAAATTTAACACGGTTTTCACTGTTTCCAATAATAATAATAATAATAAGAAATGTTTCTTAAACACCAAATCAGCATACTAGAATGATTTCTGAAGGATTACGTGACACTGAAGACTGGAGTAATAGCATGCATGTAGTGTATAGATATACTAATTATTTCTAAAAAGCAATAGCTGCATAATCCTTTCATGGATTTAAACATGAACTGAAGGTTTAAAGCGTCAGGATATCATGCTTACATGACAAGAATCCTCTAAATCTGCCATAATGGCACTTTGCGGCACTACAAATCTTACTCAAAAACTGAACCTGTCTGGGATGCATCTCCCAATACAGTCTGATATATTATCAGGCACTGGATTACAGCCAACTAACCATTTGGAGGAAATAGCTAGGTAATATCACAGTAGTGGTTTTTGAGAAACACCACAGATAATTCTTGGTCAGTGTCAAATTTACTTCAAAACTATCATGCTAAATAGTTTGATCAAGATTAACATACTAGACAGCAAGATTCAAGACTTTCTTCTATGTTATTCTTAAGTGTAACTATACAGTCTTGCACAATTTATTATTTGAGATGACACTTTGAGGAACTAACATAAACCCTTTACAATTACTTGAGGAACTATAATGAAATGTAATAACTACAATATTTTCCAATCAAATTTCAGAAAACATCCAATATTGCAAAAGTCTATTTACATCACATTTCATGAACACTTTCACTTTGCAGTTAACGATAACATAACACATCCTAAAAAAATCTCTTGGACAAAGGCTAATTCTAAGAAATCAGTGTTTGAAAATTCTAAATGTTGCATTACATTGAAAACCTTTCAAATATGGCGACCAATAAAAGAAGATCTGTTGATGACTACACTGATATCGAGCACAACAGACACACCGACATCAGCTAAAGTAGACATGATGAGATACAACCACTTACTCAAACTGCATATAATCATTAACTTTTAAGTAAATAAAGCTGGTCGTAAAGTTGGGTTTGAGCTAACCGTTAAGGCTATGGCATCGATGCGGCTTTTATAATGCTTCAAACACACTTCCTCTGTTTGGTCCAATATTATCACTTCATTCACTTGTACAGTCAGGCTCTGTCCCAGCTGTACAGTGAGTCTAGAGCCACATGCAGCTGTCAGAGCAATGCTATATGATATTTACAATCCATCTGCACATGTGCACACCTGAGTTTGTTTAGTTTCCTCCATATATGATTGTTATGTTTAGATACTAATGATAATATAAAGCAAAAGAATTCAGGCCAAAATCAACAACTGGGGTGCATTTTCAAATATAGTACAGGATGTCTGGTTCCCACACATTTTGACCAATGAATTTTCATGTGAAACCTGTTCTAGTGCTCTGTAAAAGGAAGGTAATGTAAGACCATTCCAAGCACAAGAAAATACTTTTTAGCTTTTTAAACTCTCAAAGGAACATGTCAACACTATTATTTTTTCCTGTTGAAAAAAACAGCATATGCTGGTTAGGTATGTTTTGACGCTGGGATGCTGGTTTAAGCTGGTCCTTTGCTGGTTTATGCTGTTTTTTTGCTGGTCTTTTGCTGGTTTAAACTGGTCCTTTGCTGGTTTAAGCTGGTCTTTTGCTGGTTTATGCTGGTCCTTTGCCAGCACATGACCAGCATAAACCAGCAAAAGGACCAGCATAAACCAGCAAAAGGACCAGCTTAAACCAGCAAAGGACCAGCTTAAACCAGCATCCCAGCGTCAAAACATACCTAACCAGCATATGCTGTTTTTTCAACAGGGCTGAAGACAAAATAACACACACATTGTCCCTCCACCAACACAAACAATGAAACAACATTCACTTCCACAAAGAAGGATCTATTACTGTTTGCAAAGTGACAACTAAAAATGTGAAAAATGCAGCAGTTATGAAACAAAGAGATAACGGAAGCACATGCATTATGACGAATCATATCACAATATTTGTCACAACGTTTGCACAATTTGGAGTGTTCACAAATTAAGGTAAACAAAAATTGCAAGACACATTGCAAATGTCACAAAAAATGAATTAAAAGCAAGGCATGCACATTTACTTAGTGGGACAGTCCCAACAGATAGATGATTCAAACATTTCGTGTTCATTTATTTGAATATATAGACATTCATTTGAATAAATCACTGTATCAGACGTATTCCTACCTGAGCTCAGGGTTTAATCCATTTCCTTTAAACCAAAGACGTTTTGGATCAAAGAGAAAACATCCCATGTGTTCACAGCAGTGCTTTCACTAACTTCCTACACTAGTACGAGTGACATGAGTAATGCAGCAAGACTTCACTAATGAGCGACCGAAATCCAACAAGTAGGTAGAACGGCGATTAGCATGATTCATGAGCTGATATTTCTGGCCCGGAAGTTGCCCTTAATTGGGCAGGTAGGCTGGGTCTAAAAAACAAATCTGCTGATTTAACTATTAATTGAATATGTAATCCTTATGAACGTTTCTCAGTGCCATTCTTTAAGTTTTAAATGGAATGTCTAGAACGCTGGGAAACTATCACGCGTGCAGCGCTGTCACGTGACACGTGTTACTTTTCTCAGCGCTGCTAAGGACGCACCGTTCACCTTCGTTTGAGATAACCAGCTAAATGGTTTTATACAGATTGATGGGATGCGTTTTCATTTGCGAGACAATTAAGAATTTCAACCAAAATTGAAACGATTATACATTTAGTGTAGAAATGTCTTGAAAAATATAAAAATGCTACTGAGATTTGAACGGGACTCAATGGAGAATTGTGCTTTCCGAGCCACCAGGCGCCCCCTGGAGAAACACACGCATTGTTCCATAAGAAATAGATTTGTTGCCCGGCGGGGTCGTTCTTTGGCCCGTATGAAACAAGGCTGCTGTGATCTGTCAGTCACATGGATCAGTTTGTAATCTGAGTCTATTCTCGTAACAGTATGGCTGCTAATAATTATTTTCCAGTTGTGAGATAACGTTATCATTAACTGGCATATAAACAAACTCTCTGCATGTTTTCTTCCCGCTGTGTATATTACATCTTGACATTATGGGAATGACAATTGTGCTCAAATACGATCTGCAAAATAAAACAGTCTCAAGTAAGAATGAGTACTGGGCGAATTAAGTTTAGTTTGTTTTGATGCAGTAATTCGTGGTACTATGTAGGGATCTAGTGGTTATTAAAGGATCGAGTAACTACAAGCTTACAGGTTTAATTATACATTTATATCACATTTTGGGGCACCCCAGGTTGATCCAGATGTAACATCTCTTGAATCAGCTAAATACGTTTTACTGTATCTTCTTTGCAACTGATGCAATAAACACACTGAATGAATGTTTCAAATGTAATTCAAAGCATTATGCAAAGAGTTCTGATCACTCAAGAAAATCTCTTTGACTAAATTTAAAACTAGTGAAGTTATGGTTTTAAACATGTTTCCCCCCAGCAGTTCAATGCAAAACAAATGTGAAAATGGTGGGAACAATGTCATCTCTGCACGCTGTGGTGATGAGGAAAAAACCTCAAACATCATCAAAGAATTCACATCCTGTAAAATACCATAAACAGCCTTCTACAGAAGTGAATGACCTAGTTAATTATTATATAGATGAAACCTTTTATAGCTCTAAAGCAGTTAAACCATGCAGACAGCAACAGAAGGGAATAATATGATGTTTATTGCCATTTAACAGGTTTACAAACAATAAAGGGGTCGGCTTGATTTGAGAAAAAACGGAGACAACTAATAGAGTTCCACAGAATGCATTGGCATCAGAGAAAAATGATTTTATGGCATGAAGGAAGATTTTAAAGGCATTGGCCTAACAAACATCCTGTGTCAGTAAAGAGCAACAGCTGTCAAATAAAACCTGGTATTAGCAGCAAAATACCTAAACGTCTCATCGGAGACTGTGAGTTTAATGTTCACAAAACAACTAGAAAATGGCTATAAAGCTCGACGGTTCCTTTACAGCATCCCCATCACATTCAGCAGAATCAGAATAATGGATAAAAACACTATAAAAGACATTTAAATACTTTTCATATATTTTTTAAATGCTTGTGTAATCAGGTATTTTCAGGTAGTATCAGTATTCACATTGTGTAAATGATATTAAACATCTAATTCACAAATATTTAGATATTTTTTTGTGTGAATATGACGTTTATAGTGTGTTCTCTTATAGAGGGATTGTGGTTTTAAGAACAAAAGTCAAATTTATGATTAGCTAATTTTATCACCCACTACGTCGTTGCAAGGTGGTTGGTTACATTAATAAATCGAATTAATCAATCATTTTTGGGCCATTTTATCATCTGTTCTCCACAAATCTTGAAAGAACTGAAAGTGTCATTTGGCTGCCAGTTGATGATTGAAATGCAAGATACCTGAGGTTCATCTAAAACTTGACAGACAAGTAAACACTCCACGGAAGATTAAGTTTGCCATTTCAAACTGGGTTTTTTTTTCCCCTATAGCACAAAAATGAAACAAAATGAAATGTCTTTTAAAAATTATGATCACTAGGGCATCAAACTCATACACTAAATGACAGCAAATAGTAAATCCCTATCAATATTTATATGGCTTTGATTGAGGATTCAGATAAACATACAAAAGATAAAATAACACATTTGGCTTGCAAAAAATTATGTACTGCAAATAATGCAGCACAGCTAACCCTCTATTGACAAAAATGTGTCAGACACTTCATAACTTAGATTTTTATCAATATTAAAATCCTAAAACAATACAAACGGAACGCACACATTTACAATAACTGTCTTTGTATTTCTTTTTCAGAGACACTTCTTCACACTTCTAAAGCAGCACTTTATGTTTGTTGCACTACATGTGCTACAACAGCAGTCTGCATATCCGAAATGTAATTTTAAAAAAAATGCCATCCTAAGTTACCCAGCTCTCTGTGCGCATGCGTTTGACTGAGGGATCTTCCTGGTTCTCTGTCTCTGGTGATGATCGACTGCTTTGTCCTGATGTAGCGGCGACTGTGTGAGAGTCCAGCCGCTGGTCCTCACGGTCACTACCCTCATATGAACTCCCAGAAGAGCTGAAGCTCTCGGCAGGAGAGCGGCCCACTTCTTGTCTGGAGTTGGGCCGAGGCCTGGTGTGGATGGTGGGGTAGATCGAGTAGCCGGCATGCTCTCTGGGAGGGGAGATGGGCTCTGATTTGATGCTGATGGAGTTGGTGGAAGAGTCAGAGGCCTGAACTTGTGGTCGTGTGATTCTGGAGAGAACAAGGATGGTTATTAGTACTATGTTATTTACAATACTGTTCAAAAGTTTGGGGTCACCAAGACTTCTCACGTTTTGAAAGAAATGAATACTTTAAGTCAGCAAAAATGCATTTAATTGATCAAAGGTGACAGTAAAGACATAATGTTTAATGCTGTTCTTTTAAACTTTCTATTTATCAAAGAACTCATCCAAAAAAAAAAATATATATATAATTATTATAATAACTTTCTATTTATCAATTTCTATTATAATTATTATTATATCTTTCTATTTATCAAAGAACTCATCCCAAAAAAAAATATTATAATTATTATAATTTTTCCACAAAAATATTAAGCAGCACAACTGGTTTCAGCATTGAAAATAATTATTCTTGAGCAGCCAATCAGCATATTAGAATGATTTCTGAAGATCATGTGACACTGAAGACTGCAGTAATGATGCTGAAAATTCAGCTTTGCGTCACAGGAATAAATTACATTTGAAAATATATTCAAATAGAATATATTCAAATATTTTTTTTTATAATATTTCACAATATTAGTGTTTTTGACTGTGTTTTTGATGTAATAAATGCAGCATTGGTGAGCATAAGAGACATGAGAGATAACATTAAAAAATACCAATCCCAAACTCACCAACAGAAGTGAATGTCTTGAAGTCAACATGAAAACAAAATTTACATCTAGTTAAAGACATTATGTTTTACATTTAGTATTATTGGTCTTACTGTGCATTATTCATAAATGTGGGTTATTCTAAAGAATAAAATGTTAGCAAAAATAATAAATGTAACTGTCTGTGAAACAAAAAATACTTTAAAAAAAAGTCAAATGCTTTATGAACGCTGGTTTAGGTAGTTGACAAGCTGAGTTAGGTGGGACCTGCCTGGGCTATTTAAACCAACAAAAAAGAGCCTGATCCACTGACCTATTATAGATCAGGGGCCTGACCATCTAAAACTGGTATGGCTTTTACCTAGACTCTGTCCAGTTTCGTAAACCTGCTTTTCCAGCTAGTCAAAGTAACTCTGACCAGATTTAATACATTGTTTAACTTTTGAAACATGAAGTATATTTCAAATCAGGTATAAAATCTGTCTGCAGTCTAACACTTTAACACCAATGGGTGAATGAAGGAAATGCATGCTATAATGTGGCATCACCCCTCAATCCCACAATCTCACCTCTGAGCACTGAAGCCTGGCTGACCATGTTGGCTGTGTTTCCATGAAGACCCTGGTGCTGCTGTGACAGCATCTGGTGAACTGAAGCTGTGTAAAGAACTGGGCTCTGTACTGCTCAAGGCAAAATCTATAAGAAACGAAAGAGTTAAATAGTAAAATAGTCATTCAGTAGTGTCACGAGGTCCAGAATCTAGTATTATTAGATGATTTATTATTGCATTATTCATAAATGCGGGTTATTCTAAAGAATAAAATGTTAGCAAAAATAATAAATGTAACTGTCTGTGAAACAAAAAATACTTAAAAAAAAGTAAAATGCTTTATGAACGCTGGTTTAGGTAGTTGACAAGCTGAGTTAGGTGGGACCTGCCTGGGCTATTTAAACCAACAAAAAAGAGCCTGATCCACTGACCTATTATAGATCAGGGGCCTGACCATCTAAAACTGGTATGGCTTTTACCTAGACTCTGTCCAGTTTCGTAAACCTGCTTTTCCAGCTAGTCAAAGTAACTCTGACCAGATTTAATACATTGTTTAACTTTTGAAACATGAAGTATATTTCAAATCAGGTATAAAATCTGTCTGCAGTCTAACACTTTAACACCAATGGGTGAATGAAGGAAATGCATGCTATAATGTGGCATCACCCCTCAATCCCACAATCTCACCTCTGAGCACTGAAGCCTGGCTGACCATGTTGGCTGTGTTTCCATGAAGACCCTGGTGCTGCTGTGACAGCATCTGGTGAACTGAAGCTGTGTAAAGAACTGGGCTCTGTACTGCTCAAGGCAAAATCTATAAGAAACGAAAGAGTTAAATAGTAAAATAGTCATTCAGTAGTGTCACGAGGTCCAGAATCTAGTATTATTAGATGATTTATTATGTATAGGTCAACTATATACCTGTACTGAATGATGAGGTCATGGCTGAGTACACAAGGCCCTGAGGATGCAGACTGGGGGTTGCCACGGATACCACAGGCGTGGTCAGTGATTGGCTGGACTGAGAGTTGTCTATTTGCTGAGGTTTAAATAAACGAAAAACACGGTGGAAACAACAGGGGCTGATTTGTGTGATGGAAAAAGCTGCTTACAGACAACAATAACACTGTATTCAGTCTATACTCATTATTCATTAATTTTCATGTTTTTTCTTCAAAATCATCAGTGTTGATACATCATACTGCACTGCCAGAGTAAGCAGACTACCATACATCACTTTGCAAAATAATGCAGAAAATTGGAGCGGATATTATGAATAAGTGCAGCTAATTAGCTAACATAAACAGCACCAACAAATCTGGGCACTTTAGCCATACTTAAAATGACTAAATGTCACTATATTAAATGAAAAACAAAACAGAACAGAACAAACAAAGCGAAACAAAATAATAAAATAAAATAAACAAAATGAACAGAACAGAACTCAAAACAAGAGACAAAATAAAACAAATAGAACAAAGCAAAGCAAAAATAAAACGAAATAATTAAATGAATGGAACAAAAAAAAGAGAAATTGGAACAGAACAAAACAAAGCAAAACAAAAATAAGATAAAATAAAATAAAAAACAGAACAAAAAACAAACAGAACAGAACAATAAAATAATGGAGCAAAACAAAAAGAAAAGAAAACAGAACAGAACAGAACAAAGAGAAGCGAAGCAAAAATAAAATACAACAAAATATATATACAGATGTGTCTTAAATGTCTAAATAATCGTTGGGACTAGTTTTTCAGTTAAATATTTGTTTTAACTATAAACTGAGCAGTTTATAAAGTTTCAGTGTACGCTTTGATTGTAATGTTTCACTGAACCACTAGATGGCCTTATAGCATGTAACTGTTAAACACAAGGCAGCTGTAACAAAACTGATTTTCCTACATTTTTATGACCTAGTTAATGAGTCATTTTTGAAAAGCTTTTCTGAATAAAATATTATCAAATTCCTCTTACCAAATGTTCCTCTCCTTCCTCTTGCGGCTGGCAAGAAATAGATTTAAGGACAGTTTCAGACAGGTCAATACTTTCTCATTGTCTAATGATTTCAGGATGTTTCACTGGCATACTGCAGACATGTTGTTGATGGCAGACAAAAGAAACTCTCACCAGTGAAGAGACAGTGCCCTTGCACACAGGAGGAATGAGCACTCTGAGATCAGGTTTGCGGCCCACTGTAGACGACGCTTGAGAATTTGCAGAAACAACTCTTCCCATACGGTTTCCTTCTGAACTGCCAACAAATCCATTGGCTGAATGAGGCACAGCAAAAAGGGATATTATTTAAAATTTGGGTGAGGTATAGGTTAAAACTGTGTGCTAACGTCAAAAAGGTACACCTCGGGTGGGGAGGATCAGTAAGGATAAAAGAATTAAAAAAATTGAAAAATATTATTTGCATGTACACTAAGTTTCAAATGTTTGGGGTCAGTAAGATTTTTTAATGTTCTTTGAAGAAGTCTCTTGTGTTGCATCAAGGCTGCATTTATTTGATCAAAACTACAATACAAAAACAATTTAAAATAACATCATTTATAACCTTTTAAATGTCTTTACTGTCACTTCAAATTATCCTTACTGAAGAAAAGTATTAAATTCCTGAAAAAAACTGACCCCAAACTTTTAATAATCTTATAGAAAAAACACATTCATTTTTATTGTATATAAACATATTGTATAACTCATCTGAATGAATATATATATATATATATATATATAATTTCTGACTTTAAACCATTTAAATGCATTCTAAACATTTCTTTTTCCCTTTTTTCAACTGAGAAACATATAAATTATTTTCTATAGTAAATGACAGCATAGAGCTTCACTAGTCTTTAACCTGGAGCATTTCATTAACAGACAAATCAGGAACACAGAAAGGACTAGTGGTGGATAAGGAGATCAGGTTGTCCTGCAAGAGGTCATGACCTCGCATCCTGACCACACCAATCAACATCAGTGATTAACACACAGAGACGTACTGTATAAACACACATACAGGATCTGCCACATTCTCAGCTACTTTCATTTATATGCTACATATACAAGTGCAGTACAGTATAGTGACAACTTGATGGCTTCATGCCCATAATACAGTAAATTACAGTAAATTATATACACATCCAGCCCTTTAAAAACATTCACCTGATTTGTGAATGGTTTGTAATCTTATCTCTCAAGTAAGTAGAATTGCACAGCGTGCAGGGAAGTAAATCACATGTTTAATGTGTGTTCTTTAAATAGACTGGCACCTTAGTGGAACTTCATCATTACATTCGGACACATTGTAAAAGTTAACCAAAAAAGGAAGTACCTACCCACATGACTGGAGTGCAGACCATTTGGAAGAGTGACGTCTGAGGAACCTGGCATGCCATCTGAACATATGAAAATTAATCAAACAAACAAGACCCTCGTATGACTGTTTAAAGTGATAGTTCACCCAAAAATGAAAATTTGTTTATCATTTACTCACCCTCAAATTGTTCCTAACCTGTATGAATTTCTTTTATCTGTTGGACACAAAAGAAGATATTTTGAAGAAGGTTGGTAACCAAGTAACTGATGGTAGCCATTTACTTACATAGTATGGCTACCATAGTCAATGGCTACCAAACATTTTTCAAAATATCTTCTTTTGTGTCCAACAACTAAAAGAAATTCATACAGGTTTGGAATAACTGGAGTTATGACTGAACCAAAGCAATGGCAATACCATAATATTTTGATATTTACCATGAAAATAAATGATTAGCATATCAACCACTGTATTTACATGGTATTCCAAGCTACCTCAAAATACAACATGGAATTACTATTGTACACCAGGGCTGCACGATTAATCGAATGCGATTGTCATGCGCATTTTAGTAAAGCTGGTTCTGTAATCAGCAGTAAATCATCATCACGTGCTTTTAGATGGAGCAGCATTTACTACACAGAGCCGTAGTTCACTGACAAGTTACGCAATATTCTAAGCAGTAATAAAGGCATTGCATTATAAATATACTTTATTTTAATGAACATTATAATAATAATAATAACTCAGATAAACATATATTGTCATAATCGTGTGCTTATTAGTCACGTTGAATCAATAAAAGCAGTTAAAGGGGTCATATGATGTTGCTAAAAAGAACATTATTTTGTGTATTTGGAGTAATGAAATGTGTTTATGTGGTTTAAGGTTCAAAAAACACATTATTTTCCACATACTGTACATCATTTCTTCTCCTTTATGCCCCGCCTTTCTGAAACGCGTCGATTTTTACAAAGCTCATCAGTCTGAAAAGCGAGGTGTGCTCTGATTGGCCAGCTATCCAGTGCGCACAATTTCATATTTTTCTCATCAAACAGACTAATGAATAGCTCGACACAACTCGTACTGGGGCAGAGTCTAGACAGGTATTTCTTCTGTGTAGACCAGTGGTTCTTAAAGTTATAGGGGTTCCGCAAAATAATTTGCTATAGCCTAAAGTATTTCCAGACTGTAAAGTCGCTTTTTTTTATCATGATACATAGGCCTACTGTGATTTATTCCAAAGTGACTTATATGATGCATTTAACGTCAAATAATCTAAATGAA